CCTTCCTCTCTGTGGAGCAGAGGACAGGGTGACTCTGACCCACTTCCATCCTGCCATGACCCATATCCTGACTCCTGTCCGCTGCCCTGCGCCTGTGCCCCGCGTGCTCTAATCCCCACGCTCTGCTTACACTTTAACAGGCAGAGGTCACTGGTTGAGTTGGCCAACGCTTGTGTAACTGGATTACTGCGCTGTGAATGTTTGGTCTGGAGCTGGATTGTGAGCGCTAAGAGCTGCGTGTTGTTGTCTCAGGAGGAAATGTTGTATTGATTTGCTAGTTCCAATGTATTTCTGCTGAACTGTTTTTCCCTCCAGACCTTGTAAATGTGATTCAATGGAAATCAGGAGGAGCATAATGCAATCCATTAGCAGGCTGATGACCGCTGTCCTCATTTGACGCTGGCTGATGATTTATATCTGCTTCCAATTATACTGTAAAGAATACTGTCCGAAAGTAAAAGGACAACATGGCGACAGACTCTTTGAATGTATACTGGCTTGTACTTCTCATAATAATCACATGACACAAAGGATTTAGGCGATCCAAATTTGACTAATCTAAACCAGGCTAATTGCCAAAAATTCAGATCTGTAACCTTGCATTCACCCTCTCCTAGGGAGAGCAGCAGCTTCAGGGAAGAAAACACAGAGGTATTTTTCTTAAACTCTGGCAGAAAGGCAGCAGATCCTGCAGGGTTTCCTGTGGGAGATCCTCCGGTGCTGACGGCTCTCGCTGACAATGACCTCTCTCTCTCTGTGGATGACCCGGGCTGTGTGCTGGAATGTGTCACACTAGCAAACATGACAAAGATTTCTTATCATTAAGAAGGAACAGAAAACAGAGAATGAGAAGAAAAGGGCAAGGGCTACTTTGTTTTTTAGGAGTGGTATTGTTTTAAGCAGGATTGTATTTGGATGTTACGTTAGGGCTAGTGCCAAGTGTTTTGTAATTCAAGGATTATGATGGATGACGCAGATGAGCCACCCCAGGGAGTAATAATAATTGATCCATTACATGCATCACAACCTTTGAAAACTGTTGATTCAGATTGTCTGAGAGATTTTCAAATTTGTTGTAACCACACTGTAAAACCGGACCTCTATGATAGAGGTCTTAATTCTAAAGCAATGACTCCATATCCAACTACTGTTTTGTCTACAGACATTCTTTTTTTTTTGGTAGCTTAACTTCCTTTTTCCCCTTCTCTGTCCGAGTCGTCATCCTAAAATCTAAATGTTTTAAGGGATTTGATCCCTAGGTTGGAAACCAACAAACAGAAACAGAATGTTAAATGGAAAAAATGAACCTCTATAACCTTTTGTAATAGATGGCAATTTTTGTGTAAAGGTAGAGTCAGCAGAAATGTTTGTTGCAGCCTGTAAACCCAACACTCAAATTAGGCCCCTCCTCCTGGGCTCATCGCCACCATCAGCGCATGCCCACTGCCTCTGACAGCAGTTTTTGAGAACAGACCCACCCAGCCCAGAAACCACCTGCAGCATCATGTTTCCCTGCACCACATTAAACGTCAAGTTATTTGCAGTGCAGGACTTAGCGTGTAGGTATACTGCTTGTACTGCAAACTGCAAGCTACCTGAGGATATATAACATTTGTTGTAATTGAAAAGCCCATGAATTAGCATGCTAGCACAAGCTAATCACAGCTGTTTGGTGCCTTCACGGCCAACAAAAAGCAGGCCGACTCTGCGTCCTGCACTCATCCCAAGCTGTTAGAAAAATGTAAATCAACCCGAGGTTCACCCTTGTTTTGGAACGAGCTTCATCCACTTGGCGTTTTGATTAACTATGATTATATTTTCTCTTCTTTGCTACTTCGCTGCGTTTGTCATAATCGCCAGAATGAAGGTCGTTTAGTCATCCAATTTTATCCTCTTCCAAACTCACCTGCACTCTGTCATTGTCATTGGGAAGGCTCCCAGGTCCACCGCCCAGAAATGTCCCGAGTCAACCAAAACTTGCAGACACAGTCATTTCCCCACATGTGACTCAGGCCCATAAGAATTAAGACCTCTATCATAGAGGTCCGGTTTTACAGTGTGGTTACAACAAATTTGAAAATCTCTCAGACAATCTGAATCAACAGTTTTCAAAGGTTGTGATGCATGTAATGGATCAATTATTATTGCTCCCTGGGGTGGCTCATCTGCGTCATCCATCATAATCCTTGAATTACAAAACACTTGGCACTAGCCCTAACGTAACATCCAAATACAATCCTGCTTAAAACAATACCACTCCTAAAAAACAAAGTAGCCCTTGCCCTTTTCTTCTTTCTTCAGTCTTCTCATTCTCTGTTTTCTGTTCCTTCTTAATGATAAGAAATCTTTGTCATGTTTGCTAGTGGGTTACTTTTGTATCTAAGTCTTCATTTAATTTCTTTACAGATTCTATCTTTAAAGTTAGGGATCAAAGTGCTTCTTTCACCACTTTTTATATCAGACAAAAATTATGTTATACTAGAAAAGGGTTCAGAACACTTCTGTTAAAAATATCTTTGGTTATGTTAAAAATTGGTAATATATATAGTAATGCAAAAAATGCAGGCTGTTGACATTCACTGTGAGCATGATGCACATGATTCACATGAACCTGCTTGCACTGTTGGCCTGGTATGAACTCTGCAGATCTTTTGGTATGATATTAGTGAATGGTAAAAATGTATTTGGTTGTACTGCTCTCTGGTGGACAAAACATGAATGACATGTACAAAAACTTCTGCAAATTGAGCAAAGCTAAAAATGTAGCATGTTTTCTCTTGATGTTTCTGCAGACTGATTTGCATTTCTGTAGGTTTTCTCACTTTACATTTTCTTTTCTTTCTCTGTTGTTAAAGTGGTGTGGAAGTTGTCCTCTTTATTATGATGCATTTTCTTTATTTGCATTTTTTTCTTATTCTTATTACTTTAAGTGAATCCATAATTCGTTAAGCTTTGCAGAGGAACATTGGCACCTAGATCTAACCAATAGCATGGTAACTAGTTACAGTTAGGGTTTAGGCACCACACGTACTTGTTATCTTCAAGGAAAGACACATGGCTTAGGCTAAAACAATAGGCCTGACTGAATTAGGACTTTTAGGTTCCTGTAAATACTCCGGGGTGAAACAAGCAGGCCTCCATGGCTCTGTGGTGACAGAGTTTCCAGGCAGAAAAGCCTTGAAGCTAAATTTTGAAGCGAAGATTAGCATCCAGTCACAGAACAGGTCGGGAGAGTTATGCAGAACTCTTCTTGAAAAGAAGATCACACAGATGAACCCATCGAAACTCTGCACTGTGGGAAAATGCTCTGGGTTATTTGTAGTTTTTAAACCAGTTTAAATGTTCGTTCTGTCCATTTTGCAGTGAGAATTACAACATTTGAATAAATGTAGTCTTGGGTTGTATTTAACTGTTTGAAAAAAGGCTCAAGAAGAAGCAATACACACACTTGCTTTGCCAATGTGTTATTGTTTTATTTATAGTCAATGGACACAAATGGAGGAGAACATTCACTGCTGTAAATGATTCATATTTACCCTCACTCTGAGATGATTCGGCCTTTATTAGCTTTATTAATGTTTGCTGTTTGTAGCTGTTGTAATCACTTGTGAAACCTGGTGTGTACAAACTGTGAAGCCTTTTGAACAAGCCGCTTCATTTATCTATCACAATGTTATGTCACACAGCAGGATTTGGTCATGAGTTGTTGTTGTTAAGAGGTGAGTCCAATGATTAGGAGTAAGACTATTTGTTCCAAACAAGTGTTAGATAAAGACATTCATATCTTTATGATTAATGTCTCATGTGATAACAATGTGAAGACTGAAACAGGAAAAGCTCTCCTGCCTCTCTTAAATGTTAGAATCTAGTTGATAATAAGATAGGATAGGATAGGATAATACTTTATTGATCCCCAGAGGGGAAATTCGGGTGTTGCAGCAGCACAGACAAGTAAGGTCAGTGGCCCCTTGTACCCCTACCGTTTTTTTCTGAGTGCCAGCGTCTTTTTCAATTGTTTTCAACGAGGAGAGAGTGTTTGCAGCATAAAGCGGCTGCCTTGAGAAAACAGCGCAGCACTTTTTTCTCGAGCGCTCCACATTTTTGGAGCAGCCGCTCTGAGCGCTCAAGTTGAAAATCTTTAAACTTTTTGTTAAGGCGCAGTTGACGTCACCATTGCCATTTTTCCAAATGTATGATATTCCCTTTAGATTTGCCTTGGGGTCGTGTCTTTTATACCAACATCCTCTTTGCTCCGTCGTGTCTGATCAGGAAATAAATGATACATCGGCCCAGCTGTTGTCAACAGACTGTTGTCATAGAGACAGGACGGACATGCAGTGCTTTTTTACTCCGAGCACAAACGCTTCCTGCAAGCGCTCCCAAGCACACAGCCAGCGCATTTCTGCCGGAAAAAAATGCTAGGTGGACACGGGTGTGCTGGTGTTAGTTTCAGTAAGTTTAATGCTAAGCTAAGCAGCATTCTTATCATATAGATATTTAAAGTCTTATAAAAGCTCTCAGCAACAAATCAAAGGTGCAGAGGTTCCCTATAAAGCAAACCTGCTCATGAAAAAGATAACCCTGCTACATCTCTATTCAGGATGTATATGAGCTCATCATTAGGGTGTTTGATGAGTTAGCAATGGTGGTCATCAAATAAGAAGAGATGGAAAGCACAGCTTTAAAGACAGACTTTATTTTCTTATTCTGGTTTTACATGATCAGTTACATTTTTTTGGTCCAGTGACATTTGGTTCTTTATTCATCTTCATCATATATTAAGATTCTAAATAAACATTGAGCTCTATTAAGTATAAATCCTGAAAATGGATCTGTGTATGTAGTGAAACAATTAGTTTCAAGCCTTAATGTAACCCTAAAATATCAAATGAAACTAAAAAATCTACTTAAAATGGCAATTAGCTGTTCAGTTCTTTTACCTTAAAAAAAAACACTTTAAACTTTATTTCTTGTAAGAGATGCTATAAAAATAAAAGATCAAAGTTGTCATGTTTTTTTTTTTTTATATTTATAAGATTCTCATGAATTTGAAAATAGGTTTATGGTAAAGAAGTCATGTGTTAATAAATCACAGCAAGATGTCACAGTATCTGTTTGTGCACGATGTTTCAAAAGTCTGGAGTCACCTGAACCTGTATCTACGTATGTCTATATGGATTATTGAAGATGTTCTGTCAGCATCAAAATAAAAAAAATGTAAACAGTCAAATTTAGACAAATTTTTACATGAAAAAGGTTTTTGGCCTCAAATGAAGTAAAATTCAACAATGATCATTTAACGACTGATTCTCTGATGTGAAAGCAAAAAGGCTGTTCAAAAAAAATATGACGAGTAGACGCCTCAGCCGCCTGACTGTACTGAATCTCTCCTTCAAACCAGGGGAAGCAGAACTTTTGAATATAACATTACTATAGTTGTGGGTTGCTCATCTCAAAGACAAGCAGCATTCAGGTAAAGTAGTTAAAGTGACAGTAATAGTAAAATAAAATATGCGGACAGCAAAAAACAACTGTCTAAGGACACTTGATTTTGTTTTATTGCGTTTTCTTTAAAACGTTCTAGTTTATACCACTATAATAACTGTTTCTGTGAAGAGTTTTACCTCATAAAACTGCTCTCTAAGAATTCTGTGATGAAACTGAAGCAACTATTAACTGCGTACTTGAAAAAACACAAATAAAGAGCCTGATCAAATCCAATTGTCCTATCACAGAAAGTCAAAAACAGTGTGGAGGCTGCATGTGTTACACTGTAGTGTCAGTAATAAAGTGAGCCTCGACTGTTCCTGTCCACCAAACGTTACATGCTGTAGTGACATTATTTAGCCACAAGAGGGCAGCAAAAGCCAACTTGAACAAGATGCCAGTGTTGGGCTGCTGTTAATGCAAACTACGTACACATTTTTTTTTTTGCAGGAAAAAAGTGACAATGATGTTTTTTTACTTAAAATGAACTACTGACTATATTTCACTTTAGGGCGCAAGTATCTTGTGTTTATTTTAAACTAATGTTTAACCTGACTGTGTTTCATTCTTCTATCAGTTAATCTCTTGAGCTGTATTTTAGAGCAGCACTACACTTGAACTGAAACATCATGATATCAAAAACCGTTTACAGACATGGTCCTCGTAAACCTCTCTGGACCCCCCCTCACGTTGCTGATACAGTTTCTACTGCATCATCTAACAAACAACCGGGCCTAAACTGTCAGTTGAACACAAATCTGTTTGGCGTCATTTTCATACAGTAGCAGTCAAAAGTAGGAGCGTGCCTTGTGAGGGTCACGTTAATTACATGGATGTTCTTCATCACAGTCGAAGCCGAACAGGTAGAAGTTGAAACCTCTCAGACGAGGAGAGGATTGTCCAGCACAGCCACTCCTGCTGCTACTCCTCCGTCGGAGTATTCTGAACTCTTGGTCCTCAGCAGATGACCCACACACTCGTTCATCACCATGTCAGTACCTTGCCTTTAGGGAAAACAAAACGACACATCAGTCAACTATACTATACTATTATACACACTGCTTTCCTCCAAAAGTAATGTGAAAATGACCTGTTTTCTGTTGAAAAGATGACAACATACCTGACATAAACTCCAAACGCTCCCAGTTCACTGAGACAGTTGCTGATTATTAAAGGAGCGTCCCGTCTCAGCAGGTAGTTCTGTGACGCTGTGGGGTTGATCTTATCCATCAGAATATAGGCCGTCCTCTCCGTACTTGTCTTCGCTCCCTCCAGGACCCGACAGATCTCTGATCCATAGATGTTGTTACCTGGGATAAACAGGCTCCAATTCATTTTGAGAAATATGCAAGTACTGGACTTGTTTTGGTTTTGCCTTCTTTAGGTTTCCTTAAAGTGTAAACTGTGGGCTGCTCCGTCACTCTGACAACTCTCTATTAGTGCATGTCCAGAGGATCCTGTTTGTGCATGTGTGTATATTTCAGCCTATGTGTGTTTCATGACTTCGGGGATCAATAAAGTAAATATTATTTGACCCGTGTGAGAGGGGCAAACATTGTATCATGTTGCGGCAGAAGGAGTGAGTGGGCGTGTCTTACCCCCCTGCCCTCCTCCCTCTCAAAGTTGATACGTTGACCTTCTGAAGGCATTTTTTTAAATTCCAGGGTAGAGCAGTACAACTGAAAATGCAGGGTTTAGTTACCCTTTAAAGGATTTTAACAATGGCTAAACAACTTATTGACAGAATCTGATCATACGGCCAGGCGATGGTTAACTTAGCTCTACATGAAGACTAAACTGTGGGGGATCACCTAGTCTGGCTCTGTCTAACTCAGTCTAATATGTTATCATTATTTTATTTGGCTTTGGTGCTGACCAAAGATATCTGAGTGCAACTGCACTGTTGTTAAACACAGAGCTGTTATGCCTCCCCCACAGACAACGTGCATGTGTTGAAAAGTAGAGGGGAGGTGATGTGAGAAGCCATGGCCGCTATAACAAGGTGCAGTAAAATGATCGGATTTTGTGCAAAAATGACTCTGCAAGCGTCTACAGCCTGTTGTAGAGACAACTTTTGGGGTACAATGCATTTATTCATTTGTGCAAACCAGAGACAGAACTTGGGTTATAGGACTTTCTGCCCCCGGTAGAAAGTCCTACATTGGGACATGGGAGAGACACTATTTTTCCCGTTGAAAGTTGTTCTACTATTAGCTGGACTTTGAAAACAACAGTTTTAAAGGTGGAAACGTAACACATGTTATATCACCAATATGACACAATGACCAGCAATACAGGAATGTATACAGTATGTGTTTCATGAGCTATTTGTCATAAATGTTCATTTTGACTCCCTGAAAAAGCCTCAGAGTCAGAGTTTGTTTTCAGGTCCGACATGACCATGCAGGAACATAAAAGTCATTTTAGTTTGTTTTTTAACTAAATGCTTCTTTACTTCCATATGTTGTGGTCATATACACAAATATGCAGTGTTTTCTACACACCACTTGCACAAACCTGTAACATGTAACAACATTACGACATGTATATAATATGATAAACATTTCTGTAGATGTACAGTACCTCCTCCCTCTCGTTGAGGTTTCAGCACGAATCGGTCTGGAGCTGCCAAAGCCAGTGCTACAGTTTTGTCACCCTCTGGTCCCTGCAGAGAGCAGCAACAACCGAGACAAAAAAACTTGAATGCAACAAACCAGACGATGTGTTAAAACAAGCACCAGCAGCAAACACTTTGAAGTAAATGAACCTTTTATAAAGCCACTTTTTCCCTGTTGTTTTGCACCAATACACCAAGTCAAATTCCTTGTATGTGTAAATGTACTTGGCAATAAACCCCGATTCTGATTCTGATTAAATCCCATGTTGATACCTACTGTGTTGTAGGCATGCCTGGTTTGTATACAACTCAAGAATTAAAAACAATGACATAGTTTTGTAGTTTTTTTACATTTTCTTACCAAGTCGAGAGTGTAAAGGCCAGCGAACGTTGCTCTGATCTGCTCCACTACTTGTGGCTGGTCGGGAAAGAACTTCTCCAGAACTCCAGGTCTGGCGAGGACCTGCTGTACCTTCTTGGTTCCAGCCAGGTGAGTGCTGATATCTGGACACTTCACAGCCCGGGAGCGCTCCATCAGAAGTCGAGCATCCCAGTCCTACAATTTAAAAAAATATATATATAAAATACAGGTGATGTCTTCTTCTGGTGAGGATTTTCAGACAAAACCAAAAACCTTTTTAGCAGCCCAATAATTCAAACTACTGGACTTAAAGCTGCCTCAATATCCTGAAATGCAGCGCCTAAGGATGTGATATGATGAATGCAACTGAATCAGTTAGAAGTCCTTTAAGTTTCTAAATGATAGAAACATTTATTGATTCATTTAATGGATAAAAAGTCTTTAAAATGTTATGGATAATAAATAGCTTTTGGCTCTTTGTCACAATGAAAGTACTTCATATACATCAAGGTTTTTAAACTGAACTAAAGACGGTCTTAACATCGTCCATGCATGACTCAACACATCCCCTCCGTTCTTTAAATTGAGAATCATTTTGACCTGCACCTGTGGTAACAAAAAGGGCTCTGGCAGAAAAAACTCAGGGTGCAAAAAGGTTGAAAGTAGAGGCATAATGACATGGTGGGGAGATGCTAAGGGAAATAACTGACACACAGGGAACATTCCTAGTGGAGGCCTTTATCCCAGTCCTAAAACCTGACCCCTATCCCTGGTTTCTGATGGTCTTTGACTGGATTGTAGCTCAACAGAGAGGTTCGAGGGGAATGCAAGATACTTCACAGGACTTTTAAAATGTTCATGTTTTCTTGCCAAGACATGGGCAGGATGAGTAACAGACTTTCTGTCCCAGAGAGAAAGAAGATCCACTTCACTCTGAGGGGCTGAAAAATATGGGTCTGCATAAAAACATAACCTTCCATCTTTTGTGTGAATGATTGTAAAAAAAATTAATCAGGCCGAGTGATGCAGCCTCTGTAACGAGCTGTCTGTCAATCGTTTATCTCCGAGCTGTAAGAAAGTAAATTAGAAGGACTGTCGTAATACAGCTTTCACATCCAGTAAGGCCGCCAGCTTACCAAATAAACTGGACCGGAACACAATATTTTAGACTGAATGATTACTTAATGCATTTGATTTCTGGCTTCCTTTGAACATTCCTAACTCATCAGAGGGGCGGCAGAGCATGATGAAGTTTGTTTTTCATGATTGGTGGCCTGGACACATGTGACGCTGTGTTTACAACAGTGACTGAGAAATGAGAATGAGCGCTGAACACACAGTCACCGTAACAGGGAGTTCACCCCATTGAATATTAAAGCTGCTTAAACCACGAGGATCAATGCAAAGCATGCCTTTAGGGTCTGTTCAACAAACAGTTATTAACAGGGCAAATAAATCAATTTAATGTAGTGCAGTGGCTCTCAAACACTGTGCACTACGTGTTCCCCCGGGGGGGGTGGGGGAGGGGTACTGCTTTAATGTATCTTCATTACAAAATGTTCAATCAAAACTATGCATTTTAAGCTTTAGGATAAGTTCTATTCTAGTTTCATTCATTTTATGTCATTTCATTTGAATTTTACAGCCACAAGTAATGTTAAATAACCAGGGTGTTTCGCCCGCACGTCTTCACTGGCCCCCTGGTGGCGGAATCTACATACTGTGCCTTTAACTCTCAAAGGTTGTGGGTCTGCATAAAAACAAAACCTTCCATCTTTTGTGTGAATGTTTGTAAATAACTAAAACCACTAAAGCTAAGAATAAATCCTGACGTGAGTACCTGTTCAGATGTGTAGTTCTGAGGCATGTAGCCGTTCCTAAAGTACACCACCGCAACCTCTTCACCTTCACTGAAAAAGAGAACATGAATTCAAAGAAGTGCACTTGATCATAGTTAAGTCTCCATGCTTTGTATCACACATGGTTTTAATGCATGAATAGAATAGTATGTACCATTTCTTCAGTGAAATTTTACAGAAATAAAGAGACTTACACAAACAGCCTCTTGTCATGATCAAGGGAACCAGTTTTAAAGACATCATCGAACCGCTTTCTTTTTGTGGGAATGTTTCTGAAAAACATTTTCAATTTCTGTTTGTTACAAAAAAATGCACAGAACAAGCCCCATGTTCCATATCACAAATATGTTCCCCTTGGTCAGGAGGAATCAGACAAAGACACACTTGTGTTCCTCTGTACTCCCGCTTACCTCTTCCACAGCTCGCTCTCAATGTATCGCTGATCAAAGATGTTTCTTTGGCTTTCTTCCCACCAAGAACATGACGACCGCTCTGTGGAGACAACAATACCTCCTATAAAACACTTGACTGCTGCTGTTTTACTGGTCGCTGGACTCTTTTTTTTTTTTTTTTTTTACTAAATTAAACAAAAGTGTACGTCTTTGTACATTCATTGATTTCTGCACAACTCAGAATCAAGCCTTGCAGTTGAGTCTGGTGTTACATTTGATCATGAGTGACATATGGTTATAGTCAAAGCTATAGTCAAATTGAAGATAAGCCATCATCATGCAGAAAAGTTGCAACGTCCAACACTCATTTTTGGTACTGAAAAGATCAGCTGGCATTTAAAGGCAGGGTTGGTAATTTTTCAAAAACCAGCATGATTTTGAAAGTAGCATTCCCTCAGTGCTCCCTCTGCACCGACCCCCTCCCCTCTGTGCTCCCTCAAAAGCCACGCCCTTAACTTACATGCACGAGCGCCGTTGGTCCAGAAGCGGACCTCAGCTCATGCTTTGAGTGTGGGCTCGTTCATGCATGGGGTAGACAACGAGCAGGGAGACAGGGAGGCATGTGATTGGTTCATCAGATTGTTACCTCGTGGCAAGACATTGGTCAAAGTTTTTATGTGCTTACAACTGCTACAGATGATGGAATTTCTTCGTTCCTGTTTCCGAGAACATGAGTTATTAATTTTTGTCAGGACCTAAAGACAATTTCAACCAACATCTTCTCTAACCCTGCCTTTAAGAAGAGTTTGAATATTCATTTAAAAAGATGTTCATACTCTACACTCATTGTAAGGTGAATTCAGCTTACAATGAGTGTAGAGTATAAACTTTGCTCACTGTAACCAGCACTTGATCTTAAGCTAAACTCACTGAACGTTAAGTGCCATTAAAGAGACATGCTGTGTAGTTCAATAAGGCCGTTTCCAGTGTAATTGCTTCCTACTTTTCTGATCCGTACAGCTCCCAGGCTTTGGCGACAGCTCTGGCCAGACCAGCTGCAGGGTTGTTGTCCAGGATGCGCTGGCTCTCCTCCAGTCTGCCAGCTATCTTAAGAATGTGTCTGTAGAGTAACAGGAACAATAATAATAATAATAATCACAATTGTGTCATAATCATCACACTGTGGTTTGCTTTGACACAGATTTTGGATAGAAAGATTTTTTTTAACGCAGCAACAGTTGCTGCCTGAAGGGGCAACCAGACTGTCTGACTTGGTTTCAACTGGACCAAATGTGATTGCCTGGGGCACGTTTGAGTCCTAGTAAGTGACCCATTTTGCATGGAAAAAAAGCTAATCACCCAAAGAGGACACATTTTGTCATCCTTTGCTATCAGGGAACTTTATTTCCACTATTGAACTCACAGTTTTCGCAACAAATATATCAGTGAAACTCTATTGACAGACTTACCTGTGTACGTCTGGCGTATGTGAAGAGAGACCTCCAAAACTGGCAGCAAAGGTGTTGATTTCTATCTGCTTTAAAGATGACGACCCGTCCTCTCTCTGGTCCAGCATGTAGTCTGACCGATTGATACCCAAAACAATAGTCTGGGAAAAAGGTCAGATTTAGTTAGTTCACTTAAAAGCTCTGATCAAGACACGTGTCTGAACATATTTATCCTTTTCTCGCAAACCATGGCAAAACCTACAGTTTAGGGTTTTTGGACTTCTTATGAAACAAGTCGCAACAGAAAAAAAACCTAGTCTTTTACGGGGAAGTCAAATTAAATTAAGAAGATTTCAGACTCCATAGAAACAGGTGTATCGCTTCATTAGGATGGATGTTTCACATAAACACCTTTACCACCACACTAAGAGTGCCATTTGTTCTCCAAAGTTGTAAATTCCAAGATGACTGTCTGGTACGTTATCAGGGAACCCCCCCCTCCCCCTGAAGTCGGAATTCCGACTTAGAAACTCATCCTTAGCTAATGTCAGGTATTAGCTCATAAAACAAAGAAATGTACTACTTGAGGCATCCATGTTGCTTGTTCAACTTGTTGCCAACTCGCAACTGGAACACAGTTCATTTGGATGTGATGTCATTCCCAGCTTCGAGATCCAAGTTCTGAGGTAATAATAATAAACCCACCATTCATGCATTAGAAGTTTAGGTTATTTCTAATGTCATGATCTGTCCCCATTATTTTAAATACTGTCCAGTCTTTGCTTGACTTGATGCTTAGGGAATTGCTTTACTTAAATACCAAAATTACTTTAAAATATTCATGATATAGTTTTTGTTTAAAGCTAAAATAAACCCTTTAAAGTTCTCTTTAAAGGTCAAATAAACTCTTTAAAGGTCATACACTGATATATATACAACATATGTAACAGCAAAGGGACAGTTATTTGTCCAGATTGGCAGGAGCTAGTTGGCAGACGTACCTGAGACCGTCCTTCTTTTAGGATTTGCTGGTGGATCCTAAACAACCTGGCAGTGAAATCATCCACTGCAACCGTGCTGGAAGCAAAGAAATACACAATACACAAAGTTACCACAGGTTCGCTGAGAGAATTTGACTATCATGTGATCTTTAGTAGTTTTAAAATATGCTGTGATTTTTAACAATGCATCACAGCCACGTTTCCAAACGGCTTAGGTTGCCGTCATCATTGTGGTCTCATTCATATGTTACCTAGCTAAAGATTCCTGCAGAAAGTCTGGATCCTGGCTGATCTTGTCTACCAGTGTGTTGTAGTGAGTTTGAACAGCCAGAGCCTGGAGGAACACAGCCTTCGGCACAGGTGTAGGGAACAGCGTAAATGGAGCATAGGTCGCCAGCTGAAAAAAAAAACCCACGTTGTTAGAAATATAAGACAGAATGCTGACATTATAAAACTATTCAGTAATGGACACAATCGCCGGACATGGCATGTGAGGAATGTAAATAAACATGTCGGCTGAAGATCCCTGCTAATGCAAACAAAAGCTTAATCAATACATTTCTGAAATCCAGTGCCCTAAAGGGAAACAAATTCCTGACATGACTTTACATTGAACAGGCCTGTTTTTGTAGCCAAGGCTTAACAGGAGTCAGTTCTCTGCTTACTGGCTGCAGCCCATTGTGTTTAATCACAAATACACATTCAGATCTATTTGGGCTCTAAATTCTGCTTCAGAGTCATTCATTCATCTATGCAGCTTTTAGCAATGAAAAAGGAGGGGGGGGGGGCTGGGCTGATAACTAAACTGGTTGTACAAGTTTATTCTTTCCCTCTGCTCTATGAGGAACGGACTACTGTGACAATGCCTCATTTCTTAAGTGGCTGAACAGGTTTCATCATCTGGAGAGACAGTATGTATGTGTAAGACTTAGAAGGTCTCCTTTTTCACACACTACGCTTCATGATCTCTCTCACCTCTGAGGAGTTCGGGGTCTCTTTGATCCTCATCAGCACGCCCTGAAGAAGTGCCTCATCTTTCGCCACATCCGCCAACTCTTTTATCAGGGCTGTATTCAGCATCACATCTTCCTGTATCCCTTGGGCCATTTTGATTCACCTGAAACATGAATAGAAAAACACGTTTCAGTCCAAAAGAAGGGAGGGAAATTCTCCCCATTGCAAAGTCACATGATGAAAACAGAAACAACAGGATCTGTCTTTACTTTTAAGTCACAAATCATATGGTATATATTATTATTACACATCATTGAAGACATGTTCAATTTCTGATACGCTCTTGTCTTTGTCAGTCAACAGCAGGTACTAATTCTGTGCTTGTTTTTTATGGGTTTTATTTCCGCTGTAAGTCCGCCCTTTGTTTCTGATAATGCATCATAAATTGTGACTGCTAGCCTACAGAAAACTTTCACTTCTTTAACGTGACAACAAAGCTTTAAAACAACAAAATAAATACAGATAAAGATATAAAGATCATCATATTTGTAGGAGCCAATTTAGTGTGTTTGTATGTATGTATTGTATTTCAATGGCTTAATATGTTTATTTATGTACTCAATTTGGACACTAGGTGGTGATAATTGATCATTTGAGTTAATTGGTCAGGTGGTTGGTTGAGTGTTTATATGTCACAGGTGAACAGGAAACGAGAGCATAGGTGGTGGGAACATACGGTTCTTACCATAACACAACGTAAATCAAGTAGGCTATTTAACATAATAAAAGAACGACAACAGTAAAATCTCGGAAATAACAACTCATCATATCATCATCACGGTTTGTCTCTCTCATTTTGGACATTTGTTTATTTTTTACGTGTCAAGAACTTTCCATACACCTATGCAAGTGACTAAAGGCAAGATAAGAAATCTGGACATTAGATAGTCACTACAATATTCATAACAGTTATTGTTGATGTCTGATTGATTGTTTTTATCCCATTATTGTGTCATGTGTAAACAATATTCCCAGCCCAAAACAAACTTACAAGTCACCATTATTGATACGAAGAGACCAAAGATCAAAAGTAGACACTTAATAATAATAATACTAACGAAACAAACCATTCTGACGTTTCTTCCAGACTTTAGAGACAAACATGGCTGGCTTATAAACACTGATATTAAACAAACACTCCATCCTGTCATTATCAGATCTCCAAAACATTTCAGGATTTTAAGCATACATTTCATTAATAATAGCAGGTGTTCTTAACTCATCATGAAGGGGACAATGCAAAAGAAAATGAGATTCCTTCTCAACTTCTCCTCAGTCACAAAGTTCAAACAGTCAGTGTTCCTCCGGCATGATTTTAAATCTGCAGACTTCAAGAGCCAGAAGAAGGATTCCTGAGTCAACTGAGCAACTTATGATCTCTGACCTCCTGATAAGTTTGCTTTAACTTAGGATTCAGTATCATAATTATGCTTGACTTGAATATATGCACGTAATTTTGGTTTTAACAACCACTTTGACACTGCATGGTAAATTATTTCTATACATGTATTGTACGATGATTTTACCCTTTTGCACCTTGTGACACAGGAGTTCATCAAAAATACTTTCAGCCACCTGGGAAAGTTGTAAATTGCATGCATTGATATTTAAGTGAAGTATAGTAAAGTCTACACAATGACACATATGACAGTGTCGACATGAAAATAGAATAGAATAGAATTACTTTATTGATCCCAAACTGGGAGTTACAGCAGCAGGTTATCCAAACACACAATATGAGTAAAAAACACAATGTTAGCAAATCTAAACATAATATAATATTAAATACAAAGTAAATAAGCACTAAAAGATATCAAAACTAAGAATGTGAATATATACAACCAAGATTTAACTCAGCATTACTAGTCTTAAATAGGAAGATTAAATGTAAATGTGCAAAAACAGAGTCGTAAATGGTAGTAAATTAAAAGTGAAAGATTAAATGTAAAAATGTAAAAACAGAGTTGTAAATGGACAGTACTGACATAAGTTAAAGTGCAAAACAACATAGGCTAAAGGACAGCATTAAACACAGTTACTTTCTCTGTTATTATTATCGTGTTATAGGTTAGTGTAAAGTGTCATAATGAAACTAAATGTGTATTAAACAGGTAGCTGGACCAGAAAACAAAACTATATTCACTGTAAAGAGACGAAGACCGCTCGGTGTAACCAAGTTAGCTAAAAAGCTATATGACTTCAGACTAGCAGGTTTCAGTTTTGTGTCCATTTTACCAGCACAGTGTTTACGTCTGTCGTACAGAATAAGATTACCTTTTGAGTCGCACCTGTAGCCTTGTTTTACTCCGCGAAGAAGAAATCGCTGAAATATCAACACACCAGCCTCAAACGTGAAGGTGCACATCTGCTGTGCTCCTCTTCACGAGCAACCCCCCGTTACTCTGTCGGTAACTCCCATTGGCTAGAGAGAACCCAGGTCCTCTGTTTAGCCAATCAGAGCTCAGTACGTCATCACAATAAAGACCGGCAGAGTAGTGGCAGTAAACTGCACGTAGTGGGATTAAAATGCTGACTGAAGAATGACACAGCACTTTAGTTCAAATCAGAAGTTATGTTACCTGTGATGAGCGACAGGTGGGCATTGCGGTGTTTTATTGAGCTTGTATGTAACTACAGTAATGTTGTTTGACCGGAACACGTGTAAAACACTATCATGTCTACTTTAACCGGACATTTTCTTTCATATCGTTCAAATCAACCTTTAATGTGCACTATGTAGATTTGGTAGTGACATTTGAAAGTGGAATTTGAAAGTTGGAGAAGTGAAACAAACAACTCTATGCTTTATTTTCTGAACTAAATGCACACAAATGTTTTATCAAATGAAAAAATTATGCGTGTCTACGATGGGGTTTACGGTACAGGTGCTTGGAGCGCCCAAAAAGAATGAATGCGGCAGCGTATTTCAAATTCAAATTAAAAAAACTTTATTTGTCCCCGGGGTGCAATTCAAAGGCACACAGTGCAAGTAAACGAAACATTTTAACCTAAATATAAAGTGTCCCTTTAAATACAACTTAAAGCTTGAACTTAACTTAAAAATACAAAATACAAAATATAAAAGAGTAGATATAAGTGGACAGTGATCGGACTAACATATGTAAAGAGATGTAAACATAACTATGTGCAGTAAATGAGAAATAAATATATATATATACAGAGCTATGTGTAAGTAGGCAAATACTAAATGATAAGTTATAAGGAGCATGGTGAATAATGGAACAACAGAACTAATATATACAATATAACTGTAAGGTAAAAATGAGATAAATAAAGTGACCGTAGTGCAATGATGGATAAGAAACATCAGGAATAAGTAACCAGATCTGTATGAATAGTGATATAAAATGAATAGAATAAAGTGATGTAGTGCATGAGACAGCAAAAGATACCATCAATAATAACGGCTGACAGAAGAAACGCAATGTTCTTCATGTCCCTAGCTGTGGTCCAGAGAATTCTCAGCAGATTTTATTGTGCAGTTTATTAAATAAATAAAGGTAAAGTCTGCTCAAATTTCATTAAGACACTGATATTTCTCTTAATGCAATTTGAGCATAATTAAACTTTATTTAAAGAAACTATACAGTAAAATCTGCTGAGAATTATCAGGACAACGGACAGGGACATGAGGAACAAGGATCCATTGAAAGTTTCTTGTCACCTCTCACAGATTAAAAAATATACACATATATATATATATATTACAATTTCTAAAATATCATTATCTCTATGCAATTTGAGCAGAATTCAACTTTAATTATTTCAAAAATTCTACAATAAAATCTACTGAAAATTATCAGGGGTACGGCCAGGGACATCAGGAACAAGAATCCATTGAAAGTTTCTTGTCACCTCTCACAGATTCTTTTGAAAAAAATAATAAAAATTTCTAAAATATCAGTGTCTCTATGCAATTTGAGTAGAATTCAACTTTAATTATTTCAAAAATTCTACAATAAAATCTACTGAAAATGCTCGGGGTACAGCCAGGGACATCAGGAACAAGAATCCAGTGGAAGTTTCTTGTCAGCTATCACAGATTTTTCAAAATAAAATAATTAAAATTACTAATGTGTCTCTATGCAATTGCAAATGCAGAATTAAACTTTAATTATTTCAAAATATTTTCAGTAAAACCATCTTAAAATGTAGAGGGATCTCTACATTTTTGTAATCCATTTTTTATTGTATTTTACATTTCATAAAATACAATAGAAAATAAATAAACCACAGAATCTGTACACTTCTCCACTTAACTTTCCAAATTTTCTTCTAAAACTCCATAGTGCACCTTTAAAATCACATTGCTGAATAGCATCAGTGATTCATGGCTAAGTTAAACATGAAAACACTGACAAAAACGCTCAGACAATTAACTTCTACCACATTCATTGGTAAGAGTAGCATGCTTAATAGTTGTTTATGTCTACTGTTGTATCTTGTTTTATATGTATTTTTGTTCTTTATTCTATTTTTAGAATTTGATCAACAAAAAAAACTTTAAAATGTGACAGAATTAAAGTGGAAAAATGCCTTTCAGTTTCAACCGTGTAAAGAAGTTTACCCAAACAAATACCAGGACTAGGCTACTTTATGGCATACATAAGTAATAAAATAAATATTTAGGCTACAATAGACTGTATAATTACAAACATACTGTGTTCAGGCCTTAATATTTACACTCTATTGTCCAGGCTAGAGATTCCCTTGGTAGTCAGCTTCCTCCACACCAGGAGAGGGCGCTAAAACATTTCCAAATCATAAAGATCCTCCTTTAAGCTTCCTGGTTTCCTATAGCATTCAATAAGGTTTCTGTATACAAGCCCTCAGGCTCAAACTGTACTTTTCAGCATTTTAGGGAGCGAGGGAACAAAAAAAAAAACACAAGATCAAGTGCATTTGTATGCTGTTATAGTGTTAGTATTTGATTCCAGTATATAAGTAGCACATGACAAGTAGGCAGCTATGCAGAGTGATCAGTTAGCACTGGACTGTGTGTAATTAAGCTCTGTGTTTTTGTGTTTACTTGTAGATGGCGAGTGGACAGCTGTCGAGGGTGGAGGCGTTGGCATGCTCAGGCTGCAGGCATGCATGCCATGTGATGCTCTACTGTGACACGGAAACTCAGCTGTTTGGGAGAATTCCCATCAGACATATCATACTGGTGAGCTGTGTGTGTGTGTGTGTGTGTGTGTGTGTGTGTGTGTGTGTGTGTGTGTGTGCGCACATGCATGTTTGTAAGTGTGTTCAGGTGGTAGGAATAGTGTATGGATGAAAGTGTTTGAATCCTTGGATACACAAGCTATCTACATATTTGCTTTTAGTTTTCCTGCCTGCTTGCTTAAAAAAACTCCTGTTTCTCCCTCAGCATCTCTGCCTGTGTGTGTGTGTACTGTGAAGGCAGTATTGTGTGAGTCTTACTTTGTCACTTCCCACAGATGCAGATGCGCTTTGACGGTCTGCTGGGTTTCCCTGGCGGGTGAGTCATTCCTGGTGCAGCTTGTGTTTTTATCCCATAATGTGAAAAAGGTGCGTTTAGCTAAGGTTTGTGAGTCTCTTTCTTCACAGATGAGCTCCATCAAAGGATGTACACCTGCACAGCACAGAACTAATATTCACACCAAGTTACTGCTATGCTCAGACTACAAGGATGTAAAGTGCAGCATAAGAAAATACAGCTGACAGGTTTTTCTGAAAGGTATCATGTTGTTAAAGCCTGTTGTTGCCAAACACATAATGCTTGATATATTTTTTTTATTCAGCTGCCGTTGTATCTGTGATCTACAGTAATCACTGCCAAAGTGCCAAAGTGCCAAAATGATTGGATGGGTCGCATCACAGTTTTGCTACCTGCTTGCCTACCCAAAGCACTCTGCGTGGTTTGGCAGCAGCCCAGAGAAAAGTTGAAGTGCATGACAGTGATCCTTTTCACTCCGCTCCAAACTGCTCTCTCATGGACTCGTCTTGTACCTGATGAGCAGCAGTACAAGTTAATTCATCATGAAGGGGAAGGCTTAGTTTTTATTTTTGGATAAATGATGATATTATTGCACAACTGAATTTACAATATTGCAAAAAAAAACAAAAAACCTTTTGACAGATATAGCAGACAAAGAACAGGATATAGATAATAAGAGAAGGCTTTTCATCACATCTGGCCTTGCTGCAGGGCTGTTATGTTGTCCAATGACTTTCTGGTTACAATACGACCCTACCAGATAGTTTCTTTTAGTTTTGTGTTGTCTCAGAATGTGACAGTTGTTCTCATTCAGTATCTGACTTGTGACTTTTCCTTCCTGAGGCAGCAGTAGACTTCAATGAGCTTTTCAATCGGTTTGATTTATTTACTTCTGCACATGAGGAGTCTCACGAGAGCGATACAGCTGACACTGACCTTTGATCCCTCCTCCCACACCTCAGGCTTGTTAACCCACAGGAGGAGACCCTGGAGGCGGGGCTTAGCAGGGAATTGTTGGAGGAGATGGGCGTGGCGCTTCCTATATCAGTGGAAGATCATGTGGATGCCTGCTATGCCCCTGCTTCTACTCCCTCTCCCTCCTCCCGCCTTATCACTCACTTTTACGTGAGGAAGATGGATGAGGAGCAGATTAGGGAGGCGGAGATCGCGGCTGCATCCACTGCAACAGATCATGGACTGGAGGTAACGTGTGTGTGTGTGTGTGTGTGTGTGTGTGAGCGTTTATGTCCTTCTCCTTGTAGAATGACTGATTGGAACCATTTGCCCAATCTCATGCTCTGTTCCTCATCACCTGTTCTGTCTGCTTGTCTCTCTCTCTCTCTCTCTCTCTCTCTCTCTCTCTCTCTCTCTCTCTCTCTCTCTCTCTCTCTCTCTCTCTCTCTCTCTCTCTCTCTCTTTTCAGGTCCTCGGAATGGTCAGAGTCCCGCTATATACCACGAAAGGAGGAGGCCTCGCATCTTTCCTCTCGCACTCTTTCATAGGCAACGCTCGCTCCCAGCTGCTCAACTCCCTTCTGCGCCTCAACCTGGTCGCCCCCGAGGAGTTGCACAAAGCCCTCACACACTCTTTGAAGATACACACACACACCACAGACGACCTGAAAGCAGCCCTCACGCTGACAGAGGCGAACAGGAAGCGGTTGTGAAAGCACACCTGCACATGCTCCGACAACATCCTCTCAAGCATGCACATAGATTCAGTTTGGCCATCGGCAGTGTACGACACAATCCTTCTCACAGTTAATCCTAAATACACACACACACACACACACACACACACACACACACACACACACACACACACACACACACACACACACACACACACACACACACACACACACACACTGTCATACTGATTCTCAGATGGTGACTCATAATTGCCTACTTTGCATC